GAGAGAAAAAATACAAAACAGGCGAGAGATTCCCGGATCGGAATAATTTTTCCCCCTCCCCAAATCCTATAGGTTTCGTTTATTTCTTCCAACTTGGAGAGGGGCTTTTGACGCTGATAACCTACCGGGCCAACGATTTGCTAGGAAGGGGGGAAAGGTTTGAACCGGCGGGAATGTGCGGAATAATCGCGAAATTAACAAAAGGAAACACAGGGGGTAGGCGGGTGGAAATTGCCTCTTCCCAAAATGCAGGGGAACATTTCCGAAGTGCAAAGAGACTGCTGGGAAAGAGACGATTCACCCTCCGGCGAGCTAAACCCAGAGACGGGCTGTACATTGCCCAATTCGGTTTGGGATGAAGTTCTGACCAGGGCAGGTCATTTTTACAGACAGTAAATGAGACTTTACGAATCAACCCAATCGGTTTAGCCTTTTCAACACTAATCCACAAATATAAGGCTAGAAACGGACACGCATAACAAGATTTCCTCCACAGCGCATCTTGCAAATTACACATTTCACCTGTGTTGATTTCTTCTTGACGTAGAATTTGTTTCGCATAAACCGATACACATAGTCTCTATCTCCCCACATACAGATCGCTAGATAAACTATTTCTCTATAGAGAGATCTAATTCGAATTGTCTATGGATAGAACGTATTTATCTCCTCACACATATATAAATGTAATTGTTTTTACACCTGGAGCCATGGAGATAGTCTATTTGAATTAGAGATGCGTGGATAGATTTTGTGTCTATATTCCTGTACTTGTCTGTCGATGCATCGTTTATTGGGCAAAATTAATCGATGGATATGGAATTTGTTGTCGGCATACACGCCCTGTAAACGGCGTTTCCAGACATCCCTGAGCTACTTCTTCCCCCGCCGGATTAGTGTAAAAGGGTCCCAGGTAGCTAGAGAGGGGACGGAGTTTCATTACAAAGATGCTAAAACAGGCTCCCGGCCAGGAAAGGGGACATCGCCCAGGCGTGGGGAGCCCTGGGATTTGGCCATAGGCCAGGTCAAAGTGGGCATAAATAGTACAGGGTGATTTTCCCTCTTGCCTGGGACGCAGGGGGTCAAGGACGCCCAGTATAAAGGGGAAATCAGACCCCACACGGAGGCCTCCCTTGTTCTCATCCCCTGTGTCTCCTACCGCCCTTTTCGATCTGAGAAGTGACATTCCTTCTCAAGCCAGGTGGTTCCTCGAATCCGAATCGAAAGGAATTGTTAGACCTTCTCTCACGCCTGCTGGGAGCGATATTGTAAGGGGTGGGGGGAAGACATTCCTCACACCCTATTCGTTATCGGTTACTTGTTTAGTCAAATTTAAAACAATTGTTAACGGCGACGATTGCCTAGAACAATCAGTATTTCGTTGTCTGGGATAAACAGAAGGCAGGGGGTGCACACTGCAGAGAACGAAAGAGGAGAGCGGTGTCGGACTCGGACTCAGTTTCTTACTGGTAGAAAAAAATATTGCTAACCCAGAGCAATTAAAAACAACCCCCTGTGGCTGATACCTAGAACAGCAAAGGTGGGAGGTGAACAGTCCACAGCAACCACAAAGGAAGGGGGCTAGTGAAATTGACAACCCCCTTCTCATGCCTCCTCATTGGTACGGAGAGGGCTCTGAACCAGGGGTCACTGGAAAGCAAAGATCTTTCATCCCCGCACAGGGGGCTTTCTGCGCGGCTTTTGCAAGTATTTAATCAAACAAAATACAAACCCCCCCCCCCAACAGAAGAAAGGATGAGAGAAGGAGATAAAAAGAGCCGGAGGTGAAACGCGGCTGCCCGGATGGCTCCTGTCCCCTCTCTCTGGAGATGTTTGACTCAGACTCTCCATTCAGCCGCTATGGCAGGGCTGCTCTGGGCACATTTCCAAAGCCAGGGTTGTTTTTTTAGGGGTGGGGGAGAGGGGGAAGAGTATTGTTGCAAATCGGGAGAATCCGGGGGCTACTGCTCAGGAAACCCAAGGGATGGAGCGCTCCAGACTAAATGGAGGAGATTCCTGCAGGAAAAGTAGCAAGATTCAGCCCAATCCAGAATCCACCAGGATCTGGACTAAATGACCCCAAGAGCCTTTGCAGCCCCCCAGTCTTTCACCTGAGCCCCAGTGCCCAGCGGGAGCATGAGAAGGGGGGTTCCAGGAGCTGCCTAAAAACAGGTCGCTGTCCAAGCAGAGACGGGCACAGAGCCCTTCCCGATCTACAAGTCTGGAGCAAGCACCATGCACAAGCACAACCGCTGGGAAGGCGAAGGGTAAGGAAACAGCATCTTTTGCCTGTCGGGGTCAGGAATTTCAACTCTGCCAGCCAGTGACCCCCTAGGTATCGAAATGTAAGCAACCAAAATACAAAGAGCCGGGAAGTGACTGAAAAGGAATGAATTGATCAATGGAATATACTAGACGCGTGTATAAGCTATTCAACAAGAAAGATCTGTCTCTAAATACACATTCAACAAGAAGGATCTGTCTCTAAATACACAGATACTTTTACAGCCAGAGATTTGTAGAAAAATATATAAATAGATCAATATATGTAGATACACGTACATTTGTATCTATGTATATATAGTATCTATCTACATACAGCACAGAGATTGTGTATGCGAAGAAACGGAGATAATTTGTATACGTCTATACATAATGGTATATAGCTAGACAGGTATTTAATTATGCATGGATACAGATATCTCTATACATATACAGATAATTGTGTGTATATACCGAAATAACGGTTTGTCTATTTATATATGTATACGAGAGAGATCTGTATCAATACATCATTAAATAGCGGTCTAGATCTAGATATCAATATTTGGACAGATAGATACAATGGGATTTTACGGATTTTTGACATACAACCTAGCCGTATTTGATCTAAACCAACTGACTCTTCATTATAAATACACATTCTCTGACCCGAGCTATAAATTGGACCCTATTTCTGACAGACAGGTCTGTCTCCGGATAAATGGCCGGGTCCAGTTAATTCTCTCTCTCTCTCTCAGTTCGGGAGATTGGGTTGGAGGCGGATTTTAAAACTCAGTAGCAAGAGGAGGACATTTCCCCTCTGGATCATAAAGGAGAATAAAATGAGGTCGCAATGGCTCCCTACAGCCTGTAAAGCAATCCCCAGTTTTCTAGCCGGGGAGAGGGCACCACAGGTAGACAGATAAATCTAGAAGGCTCCAAACAATCAAATACAAACAAAGGAACAGTCCAGAAGCTGAAACCCGTTCTTCTTATTCCGTCGACCAAGATCATACCCGGACATTTTTTGCCACCCCTTTTTGTGCCCTGCTATCGCAAGAAAGTAACCGCACTTCCTTTCTGCTGGGTTTCAGACGGTAGCAAAGACCTGCGAGTCAAGCAAGGTGTGAACGGCCCCTAACTTTTCCTATAACTTGTCCTCACACGCCAGCCCGCTCCATCACTTTCCAGAGAGATCTCGCCCGAGAGGAACTAATCTGGGGGGCAGGACGGCAGGGGATGTGTAACGTAACCCCCATCAGTGTGACCTCCTTCCCGGCTGCAAACGCGACCGGGCCTGGAGTGAGTTAGCAAAAGGATCTCCAAGCGAAACCCTTCAACGCGCGAGGCGGGCAGTCTCCGTACAACGCCAAGCAACACGGTGCTATGTGTAACAACGCACACACCGACACATCCGCATGCCGGCGCCCCGGTTAGCCAGAGACCTGTGGCAGCATTTGCAGAAAACTCTTGATCTGTTTCCCCTGCCAGGCAAAGCCCCGCCGGGCAAAGACGCACGCGACATCTCTGCTGCCCCGGCCACCCGAGGGGCAATGCCCCAGGGCCGTTCTCCGTCTAACCAGAGCACACGGGCAGCGAGTGCGGGGGAGAGACGCTGCATTCAGACCGGCGCAGGGAGCCAGCGCTTGGCCAGAGCATCTATCGCCTACAGGAGGGGCCGATCGCGTGCTCAGCATTGGGAACAGAGCAAGAAATAGGGGGTCATAAGACAAGCAACGAATATTATGGAGTATGAATGTGTCTATATTATGTGTGTGTGTATATATATCAACACATGCCGTATATATCAGTGTGCGTATATATATCCCCATATATATATGCACAGACAACATATATACCAGCGTGTGGATATAGATATAGATATATACACACACACACAAACACATATACACGTACATACACACATTATAATACATACGCACACGCATAGCTATATTACATACACACGTGTAGATACATACATATGCTTACAGTATATCTCTATTCCTGAGCTAGGGTTCACAACTAGGCTCTCCTATGCATATAACATCTCTCTACTCCTGGATCAGAGTTCACAGCTTCGCCTGAGCTACACTACCCTCAATTCCAATTTGACAAAACAACGGCCTGGGATCTCCCCCCGCAGGCAGCTCAGCGGCTCTGCTCCCCCCGCTCCCCACCTGTATTTCCGAAGAGCAGATTGCAAATAAACTCCCCGGCGGTGACTTGCATTGGGGTCTCCCCACTCCTAGCAGCAAATGGGCGAGATGGGTGCACTTTCCGGAGATTTTCCCCCTTAGAATGCAGCGCTCAGGGGGTCTCCCAACTTCTTGCGAGGCGGTTTAAAGTTGATGTGGCTGCGGGACCAGTATTTTGCTCTCATCTAGGAAGATTGTTTACTTCCCATTAGCTGCCTATTCCTCTTCCCCAATCAGCACAATCATCCTGCATATCTACTCTACTAAGCTCTCCGGGTACTTCCTTCCCTGTTGCGTATTATTATTTTTCTCTCTATATTATTAGTATTTTAAAAAGAAGGCAACCAACCTCATCCAGCCCCTTCGCAGGAATTTGCCTCACATGGAAATACCCACCCGTCTTACATTTCTCAAGTACTCCCCCCCCCCCCCCGCCTCTCCACATCTCACAGTGCAGTTAGCCACCCTCCCTGCACCATTTAGGCTTCTATCATTGCCAGTTTTCTTTATTATTAAATCAATGAGGGAAAAAATCCTTACGTTGCATTGGCACACCAAGAATCTCTGGAAGCCCCTTGACAGAACCTTCTGTAGTGAGTGCTGAGCTTTGCATCATTTTATTTAAATAGAAAATAAAAAATAAACGGCTCTATTTTCTCTCTCTATAAAAATAAAATAAAACATTAAGTTTAAAATACAATCAGGGCTGATCCTTCCGCACGTGCCGGAGGACTGGAGTGGCCCTGCTTTAGCCCTGGTCTGTTTCAAATCCCTTTTGATCCTGCTATCCTGGGTTAGTGTATCCTGGGTTAAAGTGATGCTGCAGCAGCTCTTTTCGCTGGAATGCTGGTCCCCCGAAGGCAGGTTTGATTCATTCACACTGCAGGGAGTGAGCGTGACGTCACTTTCCGCAGGGAGGCCCCGCCCCCTCCAGCCAATCCCCTTACATCATGTCAGAAGCTGGGGCGGGGACACCCAAAGGACAGAGCCCAGGTAAAGATTTGAGGGGCGGGGCCACCAGGCGAAGTGGGCGCGGCCTGTGCTTTATGGGCGTGGTTACCTGGCATTCAGCCCCACCCCTGCCCTTCGAGGTCTATAAAGGCAGCGGCGGCAGCTGGTGGCTCAGAGCTGCTTGTCTTGCTGGCTTTGCGCAGTCCTTCCGTTTGGCCCTGGCGTCCCTTGAAAAGGGAGGTTACCCCGGTGAAAGAGCGGCGCCCCACGCTTGTTACACCGGGGCACGCTAGAAATCCCTGTGTCAGTCACAGCCCAGTTTATTATCCCTCGTTCCTCAGCATCGCTGCTGCTCCATTTCCCTGCCCCCTTTACCCTGCGGCTCCATCCAGCTACCCCTTAGCCACCCAGCCACCGGACCCTGCATAACCTGCTGCTCCCCTGTAACAAACGCTGCAGAAATCGACACGCCTCGACTGCCGCTGACGGGATTAAACAAACCCACCCGCCCACCGTTCCTTCCAGTTGGGGGTTGCTCCCATTTCCACGCGGCCGTCCTCGTTCTGCAGCGCTGGTGTCTGCTGGAGCTTCTCGCTCGCTTTATTCGTTGCTTGGTTCTGTCTCCCTCAGCAGCTGTTCTAAGATTTCCCCTTTATCCAAATAGTTCCCGGTGTTTTATTTCCCCCTCTCCCCACGCTGACATACAGCGTTGCTTCACCTTGCCCAGGCCTGCTGAACAACTCGGGGGTCTATATTTCTCACTGAGCATTGCGATTCGTCTTCAGTGCGTGCCTGCTACATGTTCACAAGCCGCACACACCTTGAAATGGCTGGTTCCAGGACTTACTTAGCTGGAAACATTCAGATCTCACATGAGGAAGTTATTCTTCCCGTCTCTGTTCATTAAGAAGCTTTTCCTCTTAAAAACAATTCGAATCACTGATGCATTATGATGACACGCAGGGCAGAAAGGTCACATAGCGGTAAACAAACAGGTTTTTAAAAATAGCCTTTTTCACTTTATATATATCAAAACCTCAGGCAAGTGTTTCTGGCCCCAGCCCATCATATCAACTTGAGCTGGATGGTTGACTAATTTCATCTAGTTAATTTCAGTATTTGCCCAGCCAAACACCCCCCTACCCTGGGGGACGCTGGTAGGAGTCTTGTTGCTTGTTGGATTCGGAGGCCGGTTCTCGCTACACTGCGGCTACAGGCAGGGCTGTGGTTATTCGGTGTTTCCAATCCCCTTTCTCTCGGCATTAGGAAGGGATGCTGGCTGGCTAGATTAGGAAGCTGGAATGCCCCACATTTGGGTGATTGGAAAGGAGAGAGTTCCAGCATTTGGCTTTTTTGCCGCCCACTGAACCTCCTCAGAGCGGGCCCCCTCCCCTTTTCCCCATGAAACCCAAGGCAGAAAACAGCCAGCCCAGTGGTTTTCGATAGCACGCTGAAAAGCCCGTCTTAATGCATAAAGAAGATGTCCTAAGAAATACAACGCTCCACCTTAAAGATTGCAATGTTTGCCATTTGCTACAGCTCCCATTTTTCCTGATGGCCGACCGCTTTCCTTACCGGGGGCTGGGGGGGTTGAAACAGCATATTTTAGGAGTAAAAGTCACTAACTAATGACTGAATGCATGTCAGATGGCAAGAGCCCTGCACACACCCGTGTCCATTCCGATGCCAGCGATATTAAACCGTGCCGGGAAACGTCCTTTACAACAGATGAGAGAGACCGAGATCAGGACTCTGTTAATAGCGGCTTTTTAAACGAAAAAACAATAACTGAAATGAACAAAAAACCGAACAATAACGGCGAGTGAGTTTCTCATCCCTGGGGCTGATTTACTGTCGGGTATCAGCAAACGAAAATATCAACATTTATTTCTCATAGAGGAATTTACGAATGTTTTGAGAGGTTTAATAGATGATTGGACACAGGTACTTTTCTAACCAATGTATCTGCTTCCTCCCAGCCCGCTGCACAGAAACAGCCAGGCTTGGCTGGGATCAGGGGAAGGGGGGTGAATCCCCCTCTATTCTGTAAAAGGCACTGGGCTAAATTCATTCTTGGGGCGAAGTATGGAGATGACCTCATTGCTCACGTATATTTTCCCCTCCTCACCCCCACCGGAATGGATTTGATTCATTGTGCTCACCTTGCCCGTCCCATCTCAGGGGCAGATCCTCCGTTGGCATAAATGGTCATCGCTCCGTTTATACCAGCTGAGGCTGTACACCCCCGCCTCTTGTCTCTCGCCTGTTGCCCCTCCAGTTAAAATAACTTTTACCGAAGGGGACTTTTACTGAAGATCTCCCCGGCTGGAATGCTACTGTGCCCGATTCGTCAAACAGACCCTACGATTATTCATTACTGTTATTAGACGTTAGGTGTGCAGGGCAAACACATTTGGGTTTGTCACGTCAGTAAAAGTCACAAGTGCATAGAGATAAGCTTTAGGGAAAGATCCCAACAATTATTTGGCAGAAGGAATTATGAACCTGCCTAGTAACTTCTATGTCTGGTAGCCCAAAAAGCAAACACCAAATAGACTTGAATTTAAAAACGGGGAGTTACTATCTAGAATGAATCAAAAACTTCCAGATTAATAAATAGGTCAATTTTTGATTAAAAACGATGAATTTTTAATTTTAATTGTTTAGCAAAATTTTTCACAAAAATATTCATCCCATTTTTAGACCAGCTCTGAAGTTGGTTGAATTTTTCCAAATTTTGACAAAAAATGTCATTGAAATGTCAATATTTTCCTTACAAATTGCACCAAAAAATCATCATTTTTAGATCAACTCTATTAATATCCTTGTTTGATGAGACCAAGCATTGGGGCCAGGGAGCAGAGACTGGCAGGGAATAAGCTCCCACAAGGGCTGGGCACAAGTCCCAAGCTGAAAAGCCAAATCATTCCCATATAGTTAGGAAAATGTGTTTCATAACCCGCCACCAGCCATCCAGAAGGGTCAGGAATTCATGTGGGAAGTTACACTCTCAGAGATAACTCCTCCAGATGCACAAATCTTTTTATCTTAGGTATTGATTTAATTTTAATTGCTTGTGGGGTTCTTTAATCAGGACAACATTAACGATAATAATATAGATGAGAGCTCTGTATCACTTTTCATCTCTGGATCTCCAAGTGTTTTACAAAGGGAGAGAAGAATCATCTCAATATATAGCTGGGGAAACTGAGGCACAGAGCAGGTAAGTGACTTGCCACAGGCAACACAGTCAGTGGCAGAGCTGAGAATAAAACCCCAGGGTAGATCCTCAGCTGGCCCCAGGTCTCTGGGTATCTGTCCAGGGCTATAGTGACCACGATGACTCCCAAGATTTAACATCATACTTCCATGAGTCCAGTGGACAGGTGGCAATCACCAATTAAACAAAATATTGTGGGGTGACAATACCAGTTAAACAAAGTGGAGGAAGGAAAAGGGATACACAGCCATGGATGTTAAAAAGAAACAAGAGAATTCACTCAAGTAGCTGTCCAAGAGTGTTTTGGACCACAATGAGAGTAAGCACATGGGCATTTCCCCAGTTCCCCTTTAATTCAGGGGGAGGGAGGGAGGAAGACATGAGATCCTAGTCTAAGACAAGGGGTGAAGTTAATTCCTGAAATAAAATCATTGATGTTTAGAGCAATTTGGCCCACCCAATTTAAAAAGCGTAGGCAGAGAATGTAGAGAATTTCCACACAAGGAACACTGGTAAGGAATATGGCATAACATATCCAGTATTGCTATAGATCTGTCTATCTATCTGGGTCTTCTGCATGAAAGAGGTCTCCAAATGTTGACCTTTTCCTGAGACATACTGTTGAATAGACAATATAATAAGAAAGAACAAAATGCCAAAGATAGTGGGGGGGAAAAACCCCAATGAAGTTCTTCATTACAGACAATGGAGCCATGTGACATGGTTTCTATCAATATTAATAATTATGCTAGCACCCACTATATGGGAGGTTGCTATTGGGGATAGATTACTATAGTGAATTGCAGAAATCAATGCATTAGATCAAAATCTATTTTGTTACGTCCGTAGGCCATAGATGGGGAACATTTCAAAAGCTCTCTCTGTGTGTATGTTTTTCAGGATTCCTATGGGACATGGCTTCCGGAGCCATGCAGAGACATAATATTAATTCCATAGTATGCACCTACTAAACTGGTACAAAGTCAGGCTATTCCAGATGAGGTCAGATTGACAAAGGCTGGGAGGAAAGCCATGCAGGAGAAGGAAAAGCATGCGTGTGCAGGAGGTGATGGATAAAATTGCATAAACAAACCAGGGGTGATAGTCACAGGGAATAACTAAGAGCGTATGGGAGAGATGGCATACAGGCTCCTGAAGAATCCCTTCTATGGAATGAGAAAAGTGCTAGCCTGCAAAAGGACTTGCTCATTGGCTCTGAAATTGTCCAGTCTCATCCGGGAAAAATATACATGAAACAGGTGGTAGCTGGGGAAGGGAGAAGGCAGGAGAGGAAGAAGGATATGGAGAAGTGGCAGCCAAGCATGAGACTCTAAAGTTTAACAAAAATGTCCAGTATTCGCAGGTATATGGATTTTCCCAGGCATACGTTCCTTATTTTCCCCAAAGTAAATGCAGGATTAATGGACCCAAACACTTCTGCTTTC